CTAACTGGTTGGACACCACATCACAAACACCCCCCACTTGTCCTCCGTCTGCTGCAAAGTTATGAAAGCTCTTGCACTTGCACTTGATGTGGAACGTTGATGAAATTATTGATTATCCGCTGTTCTGCTTCTGTTCTTACACAATTGCTTTGTCAGCCAATTTTGTTGAATATTTGTTCTTTAGACAACTTTTAAAAGTAATGAATTTAAACTGAAAGCAAAGTGGTCTCCTTTTAAAGTTATCTGATCCCTTCTTATTACCTACTTCTACTTACATACATGCTGCCACATAAATAGGTAGAATATATTGCTTTCTCTGCCACGATGCTATGGATGTGAAGCTATGAAGATTCTCAGTACATCGGCTTCTGTAAAAACTAGGAGTCACCTCAGAAACCAAGCTTTTCACATTTATGTTCATTAAACATGGGATGCTGCACATGGTAAATCTGAGAGATGCAAATTACATGTAAAAAAGTAACTTTAGCCAAATGGAAACAGCTGGTTGGTTTAAGAATTACTTGAAGAATCCTGTACCATACTCAATCCTGTGTGCCATAATAAAATACTGAAAAACCTAAACTAAATGGCTTTGAAGTTTTAAAAACATTTCCCTCTCAAATTTGGTTCCTTGGTTAGTACCACTCTCCCTTCTGCTCCCTCCTAAACTCCAGTTCTCTGCCAGCATTCCAGTTAATGCTGCCAGTCCCCAGTCATCCAATTCTGCAAACCAGAGGCTGGCATGGCATCATACTCTCCATTTTCTCTCCTCCAGTTCCTTTAGTCTAGTCTATCAGAACCCTATTGATTTTGCTGCCTACATATCCCAAATCCATCTCCATTAAGGGACCACCCATTGTCTATGCTTTGCCTCCTCAATCAGCACACTGAGGTAATCCTTCTAAAAGAAAAATTTGACCATGCCATCTCCTCCAATAGGTTCCCATTTATTTTAATATAGAAACCACACTCTTTAAGGTGATATTCAAGGCCTGCATAACCCTGACCCTGAACTACTTCTCTGACCTCCTATGAGCATTCGTTCTTCTCAACTCTGCCGCTCCTGTACCCTGGCCCTCCTCCCACCAGCCACAGGGTTATTGCTGATTTATCTGTCTGGAGCACTTGCCTTATCTTTCCTTCCCTCAACCTTGCCCATATTTAGGCTTAGCTGTCATTCTCTTGGGGAAACCTTTCCTGACTGGGCCAAATTCCTCTATTAAATATGTCTTCCAGATCATGTAGACTTTGTAGACTTTTACACACCTGCAATCAGCATCTATTTTTATGATCGCTTCGTAAGTGCCTGCATCCCCTGCTATGGTGTGGTCTTCAGAAGTATGGCCATCTGACCTGCTCGCCATTTGGCCCCTAGCATCTTGCACAGTTCCTATCATAGGAGAGCACAATAAATATTGATTGAACTAAAAATTCTTAATAGATTAAAATGCCTTTGAGATGTCTAGAAAGCCAAGAGTAGTCAGTAATCAGTCCTAGGCTAGTCAACACTTTGTGGGAAGATCAGAGAAGAATTGGGCGTCTGCTCTGGATTCTAGCATTGTTGGTAATGGAGCACTGGCCAGTCCCATCCCCACCCCTGCCACGCTGGCCTGGACCCCCTCTCTGACCTTGACCATCTTAGCTACATAAAGAGTTCAGCAGTTGATGTCTCAGATCCTTCCTAGAGTCATGATTCAAAATTTTCTGAAAATCTTTTACAAGCTGAGGGTAAATGGCTGAATGGGAAACATGCATATCACTATTATGTTCACACTAAAATTCATCACATAAAGGACATTATTAACTTAGTGTCAAGTTACATTTCCAGTGTTAAGTTGGTAAGGAACTAATTAGATTCATTTCCCCCTCACATGGATATGCTAGTGCTGTCAGGTAGTTGCTGTGTCCCAGGCACTGATCTAAGTGCATTGTATGTATTAACTGAATTCCTCTCACACAGCAATGTTGTCAGTTCAGTATGAATACCGTCTCCATTTTACAGATGAGGAATTAAGGGTAGGTAGCTTGACCAAGGTCGACAGGTAGTTTGTGGCAGGGCTGACAGTTAAACCTCACATTCTGGCTTTAAAGACCATGCCCTTAGCTGGTCCAGCCCGCTGTTGCCTTTTCAGTCCACCTTGGGAGGCACCCTCATGGAATCAGAGCTTACTTTCACAAGCATGTGTTATCGCATTGGCTGGGGAGTTTTCACACAACTATTGGCATTTTTACAACACAGTCCTTGTGCCATCCAAGGGGCGTAGTTACATTCACAGGGTTCCCTTGCAGTTACTTAGGGTGCACCAGCTCTTCTTTAATCCCTTTAATCATTTATGTCCATGCCTTCATCCCTCTGCTTAATTTTAAGCTGTTGGAAGGCAAGAGCCAGTTTTATAAACAGATGAATTTAATGTTTACCTTCAAGGATTATCCCACCTCAGGATGTTGGTCCCTGTGGTGTTATTCTCCTATCTGGTCACAATTTTCTAGTTTTACTTACATTTAATTAGTTCTCAATTGTTTCTCCTCCTCCTTTTCCTCCTTCTGGTTGTACTTTATATCTTTCTTCTTCCTTCGCCTCCTCCTTCTTGCATGTCTTTTAGTCATAAACTATTTTAAATCATTTTGGGAAAGGGTAAAGGTTGACTAAACAAATAAATGGTCCTAGCTGGTTTGACTCAGTGGATAGAGCATTGGCCTGTGGACTGAAGAGTCCCGGGTTCAATTCCATTCAAGGGCATATGCCCAGGTTGCTGGCTCCATCCCAAGTAGGGGGCAAGCCAATCAAGGATTCTCTCTCATCATGATGTTTCTATCTCTCTCTGCCTCTTCCTCCCTCTCTGAAAGCAATAAAAATATATCTAAGAAAAAATATAAAGAAATACATGAGTAAATAAAT